TTTTGGTACTGAGGCAGTTCTTGCTTCATCTATAGAAGTAATCAGAGATTCAAGAGCATAATTAACATCATCTTTGTTTTGCAAAGGAATATTTGGATCAAAGTTACATTCCTTCCTACGTCTTAAACAGCAGTAAATCTAGGTTAGTATTGGGTGCCAATTACTCGTGGCGGGCTCGAGGTTAATGGATAACAATTTCGATTGGAAGGAGCTAGGTAGGAAACTGTTTTCTGAAGCCTCCTTCAGATACTACTCTCGAATGTTTGACCAAATACTGGCTGGGCAGGGGCAAGTAGTACAGAAACAGGAGAATAATAAAACTGAGTACAATGGCTGGGAATTGTTTGGAAAGGAGGGGATGGTCACATCAAACTCTAACATGAGACAAAAAAAGGAATTCGTAGATCGCTTCCTGCATGTAGGGAAGATCACGGGTTCCCAATACATCTCTTACTTCACGGAAGGGTTGTATACCTCGGGCCACTACTGTATCCAATAGTCGTGCTCTGGAGGCGTCATTACCCGGGCAATGCCAAACTGTGTGATCGATGGCATCATAACCGGTTCTGCACCTACATATATTGCTGTCAACGAGGTTTATTCTGTAGAGATGTGCGTCTAGTGAGTAGTGGTTGGACAAAAGTCTTGACATCACGCGAATAAATCCCCAACTTACATCCAGACCTTTGAACCACGCTCTCGAAGAAACATTTGGAGTAATGGAATGTAACCACCGCCGAAGAGAATTACTTGTTCAATCGTTTTGCCAACTTAGAATAGAGTTCTGACGTACTAATGGGCAAAAATCATCATCTGTTATTCTGCTATCATAAATCTCGCCTTGTTGTGCGCCCACCTTTCCGAGAGAGTCTGTCTTCTCATTGCCTGGGATTGAGCAATGTGAGGGGACCCATACAAAGGTAATCATATATGATCTTTCGACCAGCAAACTCATGTGCTCCCTTACCTTTGAAAGGAGAATATGGTGAAAAATACCAAAACTTGGTTGACCTAGTCTAAGGATACATAAATTTTCAACAGGGTTTTTGTCGGCTTGCTGTTTCCCGGATAGGACAGATATTCATTTATGGGCAGTGAAGTTCTGCCAACTTCTCTCGAGATACAAACTTCCCTGAAGTTCGTCAAATTTCTTTGAAAATTCACAGACTACCCTAAAGTTTCTCAGAAGACCTACTACCTTCCCTATGGCCTTCTCTTAAGTTCTACTAATTTATCTGAAGTTCTACGAACTTGCATATGAACTTTCCTGACGTTCAGCAATTTTATCTGAAATCTGAGAATTTCCCTGAAGTTCTGAAAATTTGCCTGAAGATTATCGGACTTCCCTGAAGTTCTTCAAATTTCTCTGAAGTCGTATGAATTTCCCTGAAGTTCCTAAAATTTCTCTGAATATCTATAAACTTCCCTGCCAGCTTCTCTGAAATTCCGCAATTTTCATAGAAGTTCTGTAAACTTCTTCAATCTTGCCTATGAACTTTCCTTCAAATATCTTTAAAGGTATACGGACTTCCCTGCAGCTCTGAAAATGTATATAATGATTCTCAAACTTCCCAAAAATTCTTAAAATTCCTTTGAAGATTAACGAACCTCCCTGAAGTTATACAAATTTATATGAAGATCTACGAACTTCTCTGAAACTCTACGAATTTTCCTGAAGTTCTGCAAATTTTTCTAAATGTCTACGAAAAAAAACATCCTTGCGAACTTCTCTAAAACTCTGCATATTTCTCTGAAGTTTAATGATGTTCTCCGAAGTTCTACAAACTTTCAAGATTTTTCTCACTTTTCCCAACAGTTCTATTTTTTCAAAAGTTTTATGATATTTTCAGAAGTTTTACGAACTTCCCAGACGTTAAACGATTTTCCCAGAAGCTCTGCGAACTTCCGTCATTTCCCACGTAATTCCCAAAATTCATAAACGTTCTACTAATTATTCAGAAGCTCTAATAAAAGCTTCCAAGAATTTCTAAAAACTTTCCAGCAGTTCAATTTTTTTTTTTCTAAAATCTACAATTTTTTATTTCTCCCAGCTCTTCAGAAGCTCTACGAATTTTTCATAAGTTCTAGGAATTATACAGAAGTTCTTCGAATTTCCCAGAGATTGCCCTTTTCTTTTGCGTTTAGGCGCCATGGAGGCAGGAAAACGTTTTTCCAAATCGATTTCCAAGCAGATTACTATCAGACAGAATCCGAAGGATCGAAGAGGAATTTTTCGAGTCGACGACCAAGCAGGATTACCTCGGGTAGGGTCCAAACAAGGATCGAAGAGCAATAAGAGTCAAAGAAGGTAGAAATTTTACGTAATATTGAGCACAGGAAAGTACTGTTTAAATTTGTTGTAGCTGTTGGTAGCAGAAACACTTCCTTCAGCAAAAAGCAAATAGCTCCGCATAATGAGAGAACAATGCGGACTGGAGAAAACGTTAAAGATTCCAGCATTTCGTGGCATTAATTTTAGAAATTCTGAAGAATTTTCAAGCGAACATAAAGGGAATTCTAAGGTTAACACTACCGGCGCCGATGGTGTAGTGGTAAGCGTGCTTACCTTTCACCCCAGCAGGCCTGGGTTCAATCCCAGTCGGCACAGCCGGGATGTTCTGAGGCATAACATCTCTGATTACGCCTTCCTTCGAAAAACAAGATCGACGGAAAACAAATCAAGGAAAAAAAAGGATAACACCAAAGAAAATCTGAGGCGTATTCTAAGAGAGATCAGACTGGAATTCTAGTTTAGTTTTGAGAAGCACTGCAAGCCAAATCCATGTAATGTTTCCGGGGTGGTTCTAAGAACCTTCTCTTCCTGCTAAATGCTCAGGAGATTTCCAGAGGAGTTTGGAGAAAAATTCCTAGATAGTTCGGAGGAGAATTCAAACGAGAAGAGCTTCAATTTAATTCTCAGGAGAATTCCAAGGTGATTGAAGATTGTTTGACCATAATTACTAAGCAAAAGTGTGAATAATTCCTAAGGAATTATGAGAACATTCTAAGAGAATTCTGAGTACAAATTCAAAGGGAGATCTAAGTATGATTCTTCGCGAACTTAAGGATAAAACATTGGGAATTTCTTGGAATATTGAATAGGAATTGTGACGAAAATTACAGGTGAATTCTAAGGAGAATTGTAAAAGGAGTTCTGACTACAATTTCATGTGAATTATGTAGAGAATTCTATGGAAGTTCTGAGCATAGTTCCGCGATGATTCTAAGATGTATTTCAAAGCATCTCTGAAGAGATTTGCAAGGGAATTCTAAGGAGGAATTCCAAATTCAATGAAAATTCTGATGTATATTTTAAGGAATTCTCGAGTAGAATTCAAAACTAATTTAAGAAATAATTCCATTGAAGTTTCGAAAGAATTCTGTGAAAATGATAAAGATAATTTCAAAAGAATCAAATGTTTTCTGAATAGTTTTTAGTAGTAGGTTCCACTGCAATTATTAGAAATTCGACGTTCAGAGTGAATTTCAATAGTCTTCTGCAGAAAATTTCCAGAGTGTTTGAAGACAATTATGTGCGTTTTACCATGGTTTTTTTATAAATTCTTGAACAAATCCTAAATAAATCATGTAAAGGGTTCCAAAATAAATCTGACTTGGAAAAACACTAGATTCTGAGACTTAGGATAACTTCCGACTAATTGATTAAGCGAAATATTTGAAATGCTGGACTGTATAACAATGCTAAATTAAAATAAACAAAGGCTTCTTAGCATTTTAGAACTGTTGCACTTTGATATTTTAGAAGACTAGAAGATTTTTGTTCAAGACTTCAAGACTATGAATGATTTTTTGAAGTAGATTTCTCTTCCTTTGAAATATGATCACTTCATTTGAAATTGTGTCTTTTCTATTTTAATTCTTGTTACGCCTTTGTTAATAATTACCATATCCAAGAAGCTGCTTTACAGTAAACGTTTGCTAATTGAAAGAGACTGACCCTTGCCAAAGATGTATCATCCAGCATCCTATTGTTTACAGTTGTCAAAAGGCTGAATCTATTCTTCGAAACTATTGATTTGTTTGCCAAAAATTCATATATTGCTAAATTTTCACCAAATATCGGAAATAGATTGAGAATACTAAATATGCAAATCGATTAGACTACTGAGAAAAGAGTTATTATTATATTAATTTAGGCATAATGCTTCGCGCAACCTACAGACGTATATATGAGCTTGTAGGTACGTGTGGAACGCTTGGTATAAATAGAAAGATTAGTAACTTTTTGTACAAAGATCAAAGAGATTTGTAGTCTTGGACAAGTTGTTTTGTATAGTATTCTCAATCTAAGTCCGAGATTTGGTGAGTACTATTTGGACATTTGGAAAGCAAATTAAAAGGTTCGCTTCGTTTCCCATCATTTTCCATACAAAATTTTAAATTCTTGTGCATATCAGTGTTGTGTTTGCGGAAAATAAAAGTCTTCACAGAATTTCAAAAACAATGTAAAAGGAGTACCGTGAACCCCCGTTAATCTGAACGATGCTTGGGGCATATCATTTTTTTAATATGAACTTCTAGTAACTCTATGACCATCAGAAAAGTGAGTTTCTGATAGGCTCATTCGCTGTTTTGTTTTGGTTCTGCTGTCCGTTTCGCATCGATTTCGCTTTTCTCCATTCCATGTGCTAAATGACGTTTGAGCAATTTCAAAGAATAATATCATAGAACTTCTGGGAGCGTTCCTAGGGAATTTTCAGAGAATGCTGAAGCTATTTACTAGGATGTTTTCAAAGAATTTCAGTGAATTTCTGGGTGCATTACATCAATGAAGAATTTGACTAAGGTTTTTAAACCGGTAGACCATTCAAAATTATTTCACCCAATAAAAAAATATGTGGGCCTGATTAACTAATCAAGCGCAGTTTATTAAAGTCAACTTTAAAATCAAACTAAAAAATTTCATCGGCATGCATTTTTTTAATATTAGGTTATATAAGAAAAGGCAATTAACAATCAAACCCAAAAATTGCACTTACTTGACATACGGAATGTTAGCCGCCACGTGGTACTTTGCTCCGGGGTCAAAGTCAAGTTCGGATCTCAATACCGGTGGCTTTACACCTCCGTATTGCTCCCTACAAAAAAAAATCAAACATGAATTACCTCAATCAAAACAAACCACCTCCCCATTATGAGTGGCTCAAAAGAGCAAAAACAGAAAACCCATTCACCGTACCTCAGCAGCCACCAGTGGCAGTTGTACTGCTCCTTCCGGACCCGCTTGTCGAAGATGTCGTACCGCCAGGCCTCAAGGGCAAGGGCAAACGGTAGGAAAACCACTTTTTCCAATGCCAGAGAAAACAGGAAATTTATGTCATGCGCCGTGTCGTCCACGTTTTTCTGCACCAGGCCGAGATTTTGCAGGTGCTTCGGTGAGGCAACCGACAGCGTTACGGCATCGCCGATGGCTTCGTGAAATCCTGTTGAAAAAATAAAAAAAAATGGAAAGTGTTACCAATCCTTAATTGATTTCGCTTAATTTGGAGGGTTGCCATTCGTACCCGGATTGGCACCATCGCGGAACACTTTAGGATTGTTGCGATAGTTCAGGAAGTAATGCACGTGAGCGAGTTCGTGATGTACGGTAATAAAGTCCTTGTGGTTCACCGAGGTGCACATTTTGATGCGGTAGTCCTTTCCGTTGCAAAAGTCCCATGCGGAAGGTTGGCACAGCACGGGCCTATCGGGGGGTTGCGTGAAGATCGACGTCAGCCAAAAGTCCGGCGGAAGTGCACTCATGTTCATTGAAACGAAGAATTCCTCCGCGATCTGGAACATCACCAACGGATTGTAGCCTTGTTTGTTCATTTCCGGTGTGACTTCCAGAAAGCTACGACCCGGGTAGGGGATGACAATGTCCAGGATGTTGTTCCAACTTTGACCGTACATATCGCCCAGGATGTGATCTGGGAGGGGAGCATTCCGGTTGATCTTATCCGGACCGTAGAACTCGCGGAGCTTTCGACGGACATAGGCATGAATCATTTCGTAGAGCGGAAGTATCTCATTCCAGACTTGTTCCATCTCTTCACGGAAATTTCGTGATTCGTACGGGAATTGCCAGTAGGCAGCGGCATTGGTAAAATCTGTGGTAAATAATGGAATGATAACTCCATAAAGTCTTCACATATTCAAATAGATACTCACTGTTAACCTGTGCAGCATCATTGGTTAGATCTACCAACTGTTCGAACAGCTCGCGCATTATTCTACCGGATTTGCGTCGCCACTCCAACCACGTGTACTGAAGCTCATTCCAATCCCTGCTTTTGGCCATTATCTAAACAAAATCAATCACATGTAAGCAAACCGCAAAAATTAATTGAACCGTTATAAATCCTTACATCTTTCAGATGTGGCTGCAGCCGCAAACCGCACTCGAATGGTCGTTCGAAGGCACAAATATCAGCTCCGTTGAAGATTGCCAGCATGTCGTTCACAATCCGGTTGTACTGTTTTGCAATTGGAATAGATGTTATCATCATAGGCTAATTAATGTGTGTTAAGTGTACTTACCCGATCGATCTGATCCGGTGGCAGTGCGCTGGGACCGATGGTGGACATCAACCGGACTTGGCGGTACAGTTTTTCGTCGAAGATCTTGGACTGATCGACTCGACTCATCTGGTCCCACAGGAGCCGCTGAAAGTCATTGTAACGCTGTTGGGCTGCAATCTGGGAGAAAAGAGAAGTTTTTTGAATATACGATGTTTTAACAACCTGGGAAAAGTATTTTCAAACAACGAAGGCAGATTTTTATCTATAGATTATAATATTCACTGGGAAAGGATCATGATTGGTAAATTGTTGGTTGATCACATTTAATGCTGAAAAATTAAAAATTCGACACTTAAACATTTAGAGAATCCAGACACACACAAAAAAGCTTTGAAAATGTAAAGGGATACGAATGGCTTAAGCCCCACGGTGTATTGAAACTTAAATATTATCGAATCTGCATGAACCTCGGTGTTTTTCATCAAATGTTAAGCAATAGAATATGAAACAAGATGTGAGGTTTGTTCTGAAATTCAGTCATTTTGACCTCCACAGAGTGGAAATGCCAACTCCCACGCCAACATTTCGTGAATAGAGGGCGGGCTCTTCTTCCCACTTATTGGGACATCCTTCTGTTGGATGGCCTGTTTTTTGACAGGTTGTATAATCCTGTTATTGGATTACGATGCGTTGCGAGGTTGCCCACGGATTCACCCAAACCGTTTTTGGCCCTTCATACAATGGCAGGTTGAGTACAATTAGAGGTTAATAAACTTGATCAAGTCGAACTGTGAGGATAGTTTACAGTCTACCGACAGTTGTCTTGTTACTGTGAGTGGTAGTTGCATATCATCATCATCATTAAATTCAGCCATTTTGACACCCACCTATTTTTTTTTTTCAAAATGGCGTATCCAATATTTATCATAAATCATAGCACACTCATCTAATCGAAATGATGTTTGCGACAAAGTAGTAGGAAACTATATTTTCTTTTCTTAAAAGCAATACACACTGAAAAAAAAATCGCAATTTTTCGTAAAAAAAAAACTTCTTTAATAACAAAAAACGTGATTTTTTTAAGATCTTTAAACTTATGTTTATTTGAGAGCATATGAAAAATTCTAACTATTCAGATATTGAACACACTGGACACTGTCAAATTAACCAAAAACGAAAAACATCAACTTTCAGAATACATTTTAAACTTTTTTTATATAAGTTTTTTTAAGCAGATTTTTTCAACTGTCCAGAAAATCGTTTCCTATGCTCCAATAAAGTAAATATTGCGTGAAAAATATGTACACAATTTTGACGTCAAACTAAGGACACATTCTAGCAGCTTCACGCCAAATAAAGAATCGGAAAACTCGACCTTTTCTGGTTTGCATGGAATTTTACATAAATGTTTGTTATGCGCAATGATTCACATTTTTGTTCAAATTCCACCATTTTGGATCTTGTAAAACTTTCAAAATGGCGACATCGAAATTTTTTTTTAATTGTAGCATGGAAGCGGCATCTCTGACAGAAATGACGTCTTAGACAAAGTTGTTTTTAGTAATTCCAAGTACAAGTTAAAAACAAATGATAAAAATCTCAAAACGTTCACATTTTTTTTAAAGCTTAAGAAAAAGGCTAGGGGCTAGACGGCTGTACTCAGAGTTAATATTTTCACAGCGAGCAAATTTGAGTTAGTCATATTTACTAAAAAGTGATCAAAGTAGTTCCACATTCGTCAAGAAATTAAAAATTATATCAGTATAAACATACATACATGTCAGAGTGTCAGAGTGATCCTAACAGTATTTTATTTTTGTATTCTTGCATCAAATACTCATTAATCCGTGTGTACTTCTTTTCAGTATGAATTACTATTATATGCGTGGTCTCTACTATTGTTGGCAATAAAGTTTACAAATCAGGAAAAGATATTTCCGATATGATCCGGAGAAACGAACCCGTTATTTGGCGTGCTTTATTACGGGTTGCAAAGGGTGTGTTCTGTCGATGGTTAATTAAGCATTTAGCTATTAGCAGTTCTGGCATTGGCTCTTATAATGATCATACATTGGAAAAGTTCTGATTAGACCTATTCCTAGTTTTAAACCTGTTCAAGATTTGACCAATCAATGACGATTAAGAGTTTAATCCACTTCAAATGTGTGATTTAATTTAAGCATCTTATATAAATCAGTTAAAATGAGTTGCGAATTCTAGTTTGAATTGTTCTGATAGAGCAGTAAATTTTTATATGTTATATGTGACTGTGAAAACTGCAACTCCTCGATGATTATTTCTCTCCAAAGTTGTCAGTGAAACGCGATACAAAGGAAGAGGAAAACTGCCATCAAAAACTTCAGTTTTCATTCAGCAATACAGTCCTGGAATCACAAAGCAGTAGTTTTTAATGCCACGTGCAGTGAAACTTGTAAGAGGCACTGACACATTTTTAATCTTGGTTATGCAATCAGCCAAAATGTGCATAAACAAAATACGTTAAATTATGTTAACTCCATATTCACTTGAAAATCCAATTATTATCATCGTCAACCAATGATAAGCATACACAGATTTTGCAGGCTGCGACACGGATGGCAATCCTGTATGTAATGTTGTTAAATGAGAACGTAGATTTTCCTCATCAAACATCTTTGCTTGACAATCGTGGAATGCACTCAGAACTAACAGGTTGCTATGTCACCGTGCATTGAATATTGAGCAACTCGAGTTACTCAGAGTTACTCAAAATTTACTCCAATATTACTCATTATCAAAAGCTGGCTCACCCCTAGGAAAAAGGCAAACTTTTGGAATGTTTAAAAATTTAAGAAAATCATAGAACAAAAACTTTTGGCGAGGGGAGCGACTCTATCTAAGATTCAGGATTTTTTTTTGCTTTGCTGTTGTGAGATGCACTCGCGCTTAATAGATAGAAACACGATTGATTATGATTTTGAAGATTTCCTGCAAGAGATGAAATTTTTTTTTTTTCGTAGATTGATTCGCTAGTGTGAGATTTTTCCAACCATTTAAAATCGATATTTAGATGTGTCGCACCCCTTGACTATTGGTCACATTATTGAACTTTTTGATAACAAGTTTTTGACGTAGGATTACGTCTTTTGGCAACATATTGGGGGTGCAATTTAAGAAAACCAAAATCTACCGCGTTACGAAAAGTGGTCAGGTTTTGACCACTTATAAATCTGTCAATAGCGGATGGATTTTAATTCTAAACAAGCCAATCGATTGTAAATGTTTCTACAAATTTACTAAAATGAACATTTTATCAATTTTTAATAGGTTACTATTGTAAATTACACAAATTTCCAACGGTTGAAATCGTAATAAAAATTATCGTCGATTACCTGCAAAAAGCGCTTTCCCTAACATAGATTTCAAAATCGAATACCATCCCGTCTCGCCGAACGGTGGTTACTCAATCACCGTGTATGGTGGTGCCCAGTTTCAGTGCGTGGCGTTGATCATTGTTCTCCAGTACACAACGAAAGGCTACCCGCAAGCAACGAGCTGCAGCCTACATGAGCGTTCTTTCACCGAAGAAGGAGAAAGAAGCCACGCCGCTACTGATCGGATTCAGTTGCTCGTCGTGATCCGCTATAGACCATCTATGCCAAGCGCGTCACCCCCGATCCAAACAACATACAGCTCGCCAGCCTGATCCGTGTTGAACACCCTAATAGCTCAGCATTACTCAACCATCACGTCAAAACGGTTTTTTTACAAGACCACCATAAATTATTGTTGTTTAAGAGATAATTTTCATTGAACGTTCACTCGCCTTTCTGCCAGACATGTCACCCCCAATGCTCTTTGATAATGTATCCAGCGAAACATAATTGAATTGAAATGGTACGTACATAAAAGTTCTCGCAATGACCGAATACCACAAGACCTTGTCAATTAATCAGAATCACGAATTAAGGTAAGGTTTCTCCAGGACGCTAGAAAAAAAATCTCGAATTTATATGATTTTTGTTGGTCATATTAAGTATCCAAGAACCCATTGACCACATCCGGATCCGGGTATCTCGAAGGAGGTGGCCAATTTTTGACTTGTGCTAAAATTTATCATGATACACCACAAAAGAAAATACATTTCTTACGAATATTTCGTCAGTTTCTAATCACTTTCGTTGGAGTACCCGGAGTATGTTAATGGGTGACTCTTGTAAACCAGGATTCATAATTTTGCCACCCATGATCTTGATACTGCTCATATGTTTTGAAGCGTTGCATACTTTGATTTGGCCCACGTCTGAAACTGACCGCTTCCAGTAATCCGGAACAATTTTGGGTGTGACCAATGTGGTTCTACTCAATATGACCACCACCAAAGTAACATTGCAAGATTTATACAGGTTTTATAGCATTCTACAAGTCTAAATCAGGGTTTACAGAACCCTTATAAAACCAAAATTGTTACTTGAGTAATGATCTTAGTTTAAAGTTCTCATTTGATTTGATGTGTCGCATGATGAGTTTTGAACCAAAATTAGAAAGTGAACATATGATTTTTTGTGTCGCATTATAAGGTGATAGAATTTCTAGCCATTTTGTGAATGGCTAGGCATCATGAAAATTTTTCCGGCTACCTTGAAATTCACCAAAATTCTCATTTCGTGATTCCAGGAAAACTAGCTTGATTCCCCGAAAAACCTTTTTTTACAAAAGTTATGCGAAAAAGTAGGCTGTGCATTCGTACGGACGTGACGTTTGTTTTTTCTGTAATGTTTGAAAATTTTGGAAAATTTTATATGCATAATTCTAGACCAACAATTGAAATATGTGGAACAATCAAACGTAGACAATGGCTTTAAACGCAAATTCCACGAGAATCAATGCACATCCAAGCAATCTAATACCATCATCTGATAGAACAAACTTCCTTTATAGAATGGCATTGTTAGTTTGTGTGAGATTGTTTAATTCTCGATAATTTTGTGTTTAAAGCCATTGTTTAGGTTTGGTTGTTCCGCCTATTTCATTTGTTGGTCTAGAATTTATGTGTCTTGTGATTGGAGCACATTCTTCGCGATTCGAAGTTCCAGTGATGACCTGTAATTCTGTTTAAATCAAATGGCGTTGTTCGATGTTGTATTTAAACTTGGGTGTTGATTCGGTCAACAACTACCATACCTGGATAGGATTTCCCGGTTCTGGATCGCCACCAAAACCGAACTTCAGGGTGTTATTTTTCACGAGCAGCTCAATTCTTGGCGCAAATGGCCATTCCATTTGGATATCAGCGAATGCGCGTACATCGAAGGTGCGCAGGACCTAAAACCTCTACGTCTCTGCAATATCCCATAACTCGTTCCTGAAGCCACCGAACCCTCATCGTCCCATCGTTTAGCGCGATCATGTTGTCGAGGAAGGACTTCATTCAAGTGTTTCAAATGCCAGAAACTTGCAGCTGACAAACGTCAAATGCAAATCGGGAATTCGGTTAACATTGGAGGCATTTGGTGAGATCCTTCCATTATACTATATATTATATACCATTCATTATATCACATATTACTGTTACATTCACTCTTAAGCTAACTTGGAGCGTTTGTTAGGGATGTCCACGCATTCTTCCATCCCTGAAGATTCTTGAAATGCATCGCTGTTTAAATATATTTATTTAAACTCGAATCATTTCACAGAATCATATTTGCGGTAAATGCAACGCAGTAGGCCTGGCCGTATTGATGGTTGTGGCATATCTCAGATATGCTGCAAACATCAATGATGACAAGAAAAATGATTAGTTCTTATCAAACCTAATCATTTTCCAGGATGCTTTCTCGTACTGGCTACGTTTGTATTAGATTATATAAGATTGGATTAAAGAAGTTATGCTGAACATACATTTTCCGGGAAATTTACTAATGATTTACTTTTGGAAAGCACCTCGAAAAACTTATTCAACGGGGCCGGAAACCGATGGACTTTTTACGAAGCAATAATAAGCTGCGTAGAGAAGTCGAAAAAATCTTCCTAGGGATGTCATAATTTCCAATTTTATTGCACTCATGATCAGAACCACAAATGCCATTACGAATTCTTTTTCAGTGCGTTCATTGTTTTAAAATGAGCTGATGAGCTGTTCCAAAGAATGAGTTCACCTGAACGGGTCAGATCCGCTCTGTAAGATGAGCTCTTCTGCCCATCTCTACTGTGCTGCCTGTAAACAAGCATATGTCATGTATGAGAAGTAATGAAGAGAGAGAGAGAAAAAGGGCGAGTAAAAACCCACAATGTCTTTCATTTTCATTATCTATTTTGATAAACCCTTTCTATAAGCTCTTGCTTTATAAGCGAGGACATCGAAAACAATTGAAAATAATACAGCCATGAATAGAAATCAATAGTGGCGCCGGTGGTGTAGTGGTAAGCGTGATTACCTCTCAAAAAATAACAATAAAAAAAGCGTGAACAAAAGAAAACTAAACACATACAAAAATAAATACAAATAAGCTAGAAGTAATGAGGAAAATATATTGGTTAAAGATATTTTACCACAAGAAATGACAAATCAATTTAAAACGATTCAAGAATGATGAATAAAGCATAAATACCACTTAACTTTAAAACATCATCATATTAAATAATAGCTTCCTGTGATGTTTGGCACGCGATAAGCTTATTCAATGAACGTTCAGCAGCCCGACAAACAATCGAAAAACAAACTCAATACCCCAATGTCAAGCGAAAAAATTGGGTAATGTCTTCTTCGTGTCTGGGACAAAGTTCAATGTTAATACGATTTCAACCGTTGCTGTCATCTACACCGCCGGCCATGGTGGTAGCTCAAGAAAAACAGTTCATGTCACAAAAACCGAAAGCACGCCTTTTTTCCCACAGTCATGAAAATCGCCCGTCCCCCCGTCTTTTAGCGTTGACTTTTACGGCTTATTCATCACCTTCCACGAACCAAGCACTCATTGTTGTTACCAAAGCCGAGCCATTCTGCTGCTACTGCTAAACGCTAATTTTCCAACCCACCACCCGCAGTCGATCCGAAACAAGAAGATTTCAGTTTTTATGCGTGCCTTCGGTACAAAGATCCAATACGATTCTAACCACCCAGAACCCACAAGTCTTTCCCGGCGACGTGCGGGTCAATGTCAAACAACCATACACGAACCCACCGCAAAAAATTCCCACAATTGTGCCACCGCGCGTCATTATCTCGAAGGGTCCAATCTATGTTATCATGCCATACACATACCGCGGCGACCGGTGAACTTAAATTCAGAATAAGAAACCACAAATTAAGTCTCAAACAGTCTTACCGCTTCCACCTGCGTTGCCTCGTTCACGTTCGTCTCGAAGTTCCACTGGGCACCGACGTTGAGCGAACACTCGAGCGAACTTTTCCGATCGATATCGGCCAGAAAGGAGCGAAGTTTCTCCGTTTCCGCCCGAAAGCGACGTTCTTCTTCGGCACTGCGGAACGGTCCTTGGAAGAGGGAATCCCTCGGTCGATCGTCGTTCTCGTTCAGAGGTCCGAACTGTGGTCTACGATTCGGATCAAGGCGATCGTCATTCTGGTTCCGGTTGCGATTCTGGTAGAGATTTGGATTGTCTACATCGCTGACGAACGGGCGGCGGTTCGGATCGTACCGACCATCGTCCGGATTATTGCGCAAACGATCATCCTGGTTCGGGTTGTACGGTTGACGGTTTTGGTAGAGCTCCGGATTGTCGACATCGGAAACGAACCGGTTCCGGTTCCGATCCCGGTCGTATGGATTTTGATTCCGGTTCCGGTAGTCTTCGTTGTTGTACTGGTTCCGGTCGTCGTAGGAAAATGGCTGGAATGGTTAGAATTGAATGTGTTTTAGTTAATTTTGTGATTTATGAGTTAACTAAACTCAAATTTGGGTCATTCTCATTCGCTGTATAGTCAAACTCACCCTATTCTGCCGATCCTGTCGGTCGTCATTGTTCCTTCCTTGAGGGTAATTTTCTTCATCGACATCACCATCATCATACGGTGGTCCGAATCGTTGGCTTCTGCTTTGATCAAAATTGTCCCCTTCTTTTCGAGGATCGCCGTTTTGCAACCCTGCACCCGTAGGACCCGTATAGCTGTTCGGTAATACCTGTGGTCTACTGGTGGGTCCCACCTGTCCAAACGGAGGCAAATTCAACTGAGGCTCGGCTTCGGCCGACACATGCTTTGAAATCACTACCACGCACAATACCGCCCTCAGAAGGGCACCAGTTGCTGCTGACGCAGACATTTCGTAACCGAAACAGATCTTTTATGACAGATGTCGAAGATCACGTAACACGCACCCACACACACACTGCACGGCACTGTTGCTGTCTGCAGGGAAACTCTCACTTTCGGAAATTATGCAAATTCTATGTGGGTCATTTCATATTTGGTAACATTTTTGTTTTTCAACGCGAGCAAACGGATGAATGGTTTCACTTTTCGCAGAGACACTACTATTTCCGTTTTGAATGCTTGTTGTTACAGTTTCACTTTCATTTGCCGGTGGTCGGATGTTTTATCCATGTAGTGTATGTTGCAAATTTTGAATATTCTTTTTTCTGCTTGTTTTCTTTGGATCATGCGCCGAAACGGCCGACGATGGCTTTCACTAATTGGCGTATGAGCTTCCTGCTCAAGTCTTAGATGAATTGGCGTTACTCTAAGAGTTCTCACTACTTGTCATAGAATTTATCAATTAATCTCAATATATATTCTACAATGAATGCTATCAAGATGCTTTCGATTATGATGAAGATCTATCTAATGTTAGTTTTGAGATCACCAAAAAACGCTAGGTGACGAGTTTAATTCTATATCGATAAATCCATATCGAAATATTAGGGATGCAATATGCAGTATGTATGTCAACACGATTAACCCTCCCAACTAAACGGTAGCTGAGCAAGCAATGGAAGAAGTCGAAGGCCATTCTTGGCTTAATGGAGCCATTTTGAGCAGTTCCTTCGCTGATTGATCCATTTCTTCTTGTATTTTTTTTTTTAAATTTGGATGAAAATTTGCAGAAATGTTCCTTTTGTCCAAAAGTGCCATTTTTCGTCATCAAACCACAGTTTTGAATCAAGCCTTATTTTTGACAAGAACCTATGGAAAATATCAAGCTTATCTTCAAAAAACTGTTACTCGAAATTGATTTTCCGATCGGTTTGGTGCCTAGGATAATGTTGAAGGTAATAGCTGAGACTATTTGAAAAAAAAATGTATACTACATAAAATTACACCATATAAAAATAAATCATTTTTCTCAAAAAGGGGTGTTTGATCTTTCGGAAACAAATATTCTTGGAACTGGAGAATCGTGAAATACATTCGAAGAGTGCCAAATATTATCAACATTAAAAAATAAATACCATTCAACCCACTACATCTCCAAATTGTGCCACTTAAAAATATGTTATGCAAGCGCTTTTTTATTTTTTTTTTCCTTTGGTTTGTTTTTTTCCGTCGATCTTGTTTTGCTGAGCACCAATGCTACCGACGTGCCAGGAAGGCAGCTCCCACACCTGGACCCTACCTATCGACCCATCAACTCATGAACCGGGGACCAACGGCTTTACTACCCATCCGAAGGAAGGCGTGATCAGAGATGTTATGCCTCAGAACATCCCGGCGGCGCCGACTGGTATTGAACCCAGGCCTGCTGGGGTGAGAGGTAATCACGCTTACCACTACACCACCGGCGCCGTTACTTTTTTATTTTAAATTTTTATGTTTTTTCATTATATAAAATTGAACGGAAAATTGGACCATGTTTTCGGTACTTTTCAAAACACTTCAGCTCTTTAAAAAATCATTAGATATTTGTAGATGATATTTTTATATGGTGCATTTTTTTAGAGTGAAAATATTTCTTTTTTTTTTTCAAATTGTCCCAGTCATTGCTCAAGGCACCAACCGATCAGACAAACCATTTTCGAGTAACAGTTTTCCGAAGATAAGCTTAATGTTTTCTATAGGCCCTTTTTAAAAATAAGGTTTGATTCAAAATTACGATTTGAAGATGAAAAATGGCATTTTTCAGCAGAAGGAACGTTTCTGCCAATTTGCATCCAAATAAACAAATACATGAATAAATGTATCAGCTAATCAGTATGAACCCGATCTTTTATGACGTTTTAGAATCACTTTGGCCATTTTTAGACTAAATTTGCGATCATAGACTTTTTTGGAGTTATAAGGTTATTTTTTTTCGTTTTTTGCGAATTTAAAGTTATTTTGGAGCTCCTGTTTTAAGCAATTTCTGAGTGATTTAAACCATTTTCATCGTTTAAATGCCATTCAGAGTTTACTTTGCTATTCAATTTTTTCGATTATGTGTTCAAGCCATTCAAGCATTTTAATTGTTTTTGTAAGACATTGAGATATTTGGGGTTTTAACATATTTTTGTCTATTTTTTCACTATGTTTAACTACAATTTTGTCTCAGACGTCATTTCGAACAGAAGTACCGTTTCTGAACTATTTTTTTTTTTTTTTGAAAGCTTTCCAGGGTGCCCTTTTAAAAATTTGACAAGATTCAAAATGGTCGAATGTTAGCAAAAATCTGAGTTATTGACTGAGTTATTGCCTATAAAATCAGTTATGCAAAGTTTCATGCAAATCAGAGAAGGTCGACTCAACAATTCATTGTTTTTCTCTATCTGGAACTGCTCAAAAGCTTGAACTACATAAAATGCAATTTGGTTTAACTGTCGTCTGTTTCTTAGTATTTGCAATAGGAATATGCTAAAAATAGCAGGAATATATTAAACATTCTTTGGGGGGTATATATTAAATTTTTATTATAGTGAAGGGTTTTTTTTTATTTTAAATAATGAAGTGAATATTTTTTCTTAATGAACAGCGAAAATTTTCAATAAATAATATTTTTCCTTCATTCCATCATGATCATATTAAAAAACACAATATTACTAATTTTTGACATTTTCTATTCTTCAAAGAAAAAAACAGACCAGCTCATAATTAAATGAAGGAAACACACCTGATAAGTGATTATTTCACAGACAAACAGACATAAAGCTTAACTTGCTGTTCTTCTTCTTTTCTTTCTTCTTTTCCTTTATTTAACGTCGGTCTCTGTTCCGCAATCTAGTGCCAATCACCGACGGACATCGATTGCCATCCATTGACGGCAACCGAATGTGCAGGAAGGCAGCTTCCACACCTGCGTAGGATATCGCACCCATTCAACACACATGGGCCGGGACCAACGGCAATAACTTGCTGTTCATCATTCACCCATTTGACGGTTGGTTTAAAATTTGGTTATTTGGCTCTCATAGTCATCTGCTATCTGCGTTTGCACTCTACCGCCATCTGTTGAGCACAGTGCCCTCCACAGGGTGGTTACCTAATGGCAATAGTTTTTATGGGATGTTTTAAAATCAATAATGTTCCCAGTGCTTTGTCTGTTTGTCTGTGATTATTTTGTCCAGTGTGAAGAATAGTTTGAGCATTAAAACTCTAACGAGCTGCTAATGTTTAAAAGCAGGATGAACGTCCAATGGGCTCTTATACTTGATATGTAGCGCAAGTAAAATTAGCCCACCCCTGTCAGACGTGTTTACTACGGTCTCCACCTTCATTATGCCAAATGACCATTATACCAAATGATACTTGCCATTAATTTAATATTGTTGTTTTTCGGGGTTACGCCAATTGACTTTGCTATTTGGAAAAAAATATAATGCCAAATTACCTTATGCCAATCGTCATTATGTCAAACGACTTTATGCTAATTGAGGTTTCCTCCAACGAGGGAAACGCATATTTCACCAAAGGTCATTTCGCCGAAAAATTATTCACCGAATAGGTCATTTCACCGAAGGATATTTCGCACACCAAAAATACTTCTTGTCAAGCTAATTTTTTACACAATGCACAGTGGTCAGAATGCAGATTTAGGTAGAATGATATGTTTTGAGCCTGAAATTGAAACTTTAGACTAAAAGTCTCTTCTACAAAGTTTTTCCTAATAGTTAGGTCCTTATTTTTATGACAATGAACTCTAGGGTGGTTTTTATTATCATTAAAATCAAAACTCTAACTTTTTTGTTTGAATAAACTATGATATACATTCTTCGGCAAAAGTATAGCTTAGCTAATTTCAAGCAACTTTGTATGAAAAAACTTTTTTATATCTCTTAAATTGACCGATTAAGAGTTATTTTCTTGAATTGAGTTAGGGTGTCTCTAACAAAACAGTTGTTTTGCTCTAGTTTTCTTATTTCAAATTTCTCGGCAAAGGTGTCTTCAAATAACTCTTAGATCTTTATAAGGCGCAAATTTTTTTGAAGTTTTTTAAATATCCCTTTTCAAATGTTAATATCTCTGGTTAATAATCAAGTTTTTTAAACAGCATTCGAAAGGGCGTATGTTATGCTCAATAATATGAAAAATTGGAGGTATGTTATTTTTAAAACTCGTATAAAATCAATTATACATATTTTGACGTAGGACTATGTCTGTGATTTCTATATGGGGGTACACTTTGTGAAAACCGAAAATGGAACATGTAACAAAATTATGAAAGATTTTGAACATTAATAACTCAGCTGCCCCTGGACCAATTTCAATAATTTCATCACCAATCGATCAAAAGAATTTCTAAGTATCTATAGCAATGCTTCCAATTGTTGATTTTCAACAAAAAAAAACTATTGAAAAAGTGGTAATGTCCAACATACAAATTGCAGGTTAGGTGGTCCACTCTTCTACCTAAAAAGCAACAGTGAGTGGTAGTGGCAAAGGAGGAAAAGGTCTTGGTAAAGAAGGCGCCAAGCGTCATCGCAAGGTTCTTCGTGATAACCGCCATCCGTCGTCTGGCTTGCCGTGGCGGTGTCAAACGTATCTCCGGTCTGATCTACGAGGTGTGCTGAAGGTGTTCCTGGAAAATGTGATCCGTGATGCTGTCACCTACACTGAGCACGTAAGCGGCCATAGATGTCATCTACGCTTTGAAGCGAAAGAGACGCACTCTGTATGGATTCGGAGGTTAAATCATCACCAACTTTGGCAACAAAACGGCCCTTTTCAAAGTCCCAAGCTTATTACAGTAAAAAGTAGGAATAGAATTTATCTGCCTGTTTGTTCATATTCAGAATCACACGCCCCCAACGACCACACAAAATGCTCCCCAGAGTTGTGTCGTGACTGGACCGAGGTTTCCAGCCTAGCGGTTCCACGAATCTGCTGCTCCCTCTGTTGGTCAGCTAGTGCCGCTATCCCTTTTGCTGGTGGTCCTTTGCTGGTCTTTCGCACTCTCCACAGTCCGTCATAAGAATGCCGTCAACGAGTTTTTTTTTTTGTTTAAATGATCTTTATTTTAGTTTAACTTGGACGATTACCATATAAATTTTTACTAAGTGATTTAATTGCTTTCTTCATCTTTAGGTATGGGCAAAATTCAAAATTTGTTTTACAGAATTAGTCCTAGACTTAGTACACGGTCGACCACCTTGGTGGGATTGGTTTGTTTTGTTTTTAGAATTTGAAGAGAAACTACTTAATACTACTATTTACAGCTTAAAACTAACCTACTCTACTATATACACTTAACCTGCTATGTACAAATTGCTTATTAAAGCATGTTCAGAAAGATTGCATTTTTGGATAAATTTG